AATTTCAAACGGCCCCTTAAAAAAGCGAAATTCATTTAACAATAAGCCGGCTTGGCAAATAAGATTAGAAATAGATATATTTATCCTGCGCGCTGATGTGGCTAGATTAACACAATTTACTAACAATAATGTCTATTATTAGTTAAGAAAATTGATTTAATATTTCATAAATATAAATTTCATTCAACTTATGATAAAAATAATATTAGACCAGCTGAATTTTTAGACACTCCAAAACAAAAACTTGCACTTAAAACCCAAAGACTAGCCAGATACAAGAAATCCCTACAAATAAAAGAAGACAATAGGCTTTTTCAGACTAATGAAAAAGGATTTTATCGGTCGCTCAAACATAATGTAAGTAATGTATCCTATGAACCCAAGGAAGTACCAACTAAAGAAGAACTTAAAAACTACTGGACTGAAATATGGAAGAAAAATAATAAACATAATGAGCAGGCAAGTTGGATCAAAGAAGAAGAAAATAAAGCAGAAGCTATTGAATTGACGGAATTCACAGAAGTTACTAAATTAGAGATTGAACATGTGACCAAAAAAGGAAAAACTGGAAAGCTACTGGTCCCGATAATGTTCACAACTTTTGGTATAAAAAGTTCTCGGCCCTCCATTTTGATGTAATGATTGATGTAATGAATGTTGATGTAAATTATATTTTGTTCTTTGAATATTGAGAGTGAGTCAAAGTGGTGTGTTGAATGATGACCAGCATAAGAACTTGCCAGGCATAAAATAAAGATACCATGGATACAAGTGAGGATGTTTGGGCCGGGTAGGATTGGCGTACGAACTCGCCGCTCATGTGTGACTCGAAACATCGATGATGGTGTCAATGTTGGTGTGTCGGTGAAGGAAGCAACTCTCACACCACAGGGCTATAGATATTGAATGAGTGAGGGGTATTAAAGTCGGGCAGGATTGGCGTACGAACTCGTCACCTATGATTGACTTGAAGTACCGCAGCCGATGATGGTGTGTCGATGAAGAAAGTAACTCTCACACCACACGGCTATAGATATTGATTGAGTGAGGGGTATTAGAGTCGGGAAGGATTGGCGTATGAACTCGTCGCCCATGATTGACTTGAAGTACCGCAGCCGATGATGGTGTGTCGGTGAAGAAAGTAACTCTCATACCACACGGCTATAGATATTGAGTGAGGGGTATTAGAGTCGGGCAAGATTGGCGCATGAACTCGTCGCCCGTGATTGACTTGAAGTACCGCAGCCGATGACAGGGTGATGGTGAAGGAAGTGACCCTCACGCCGCTAGGCTATAGAAGATTCAGTGAGAATGTTGTACATGTTTTATTGTATACTGTCTTGCATGATAGGCTTATTAAAATGTAAATATGAATTATTCTACAATATATCTAAAATTACAACGGTATCACTATATTAACTTATAAGTTAAGAAGAAACGAAGGAACTCGTTTTTGAAGGATGTCAGACTGTAACAAGACTTATATATTAGAGTAGTAGTTTACATCACTCCATCAATACTAAAGCGTCTATCGTCAAGTCTTATCATATCTGATAAAATAATCGTTTAAGTTTTGATTCGATTGCGTTAAAGTAACGTCAAATATAGTCTATGGATTAGCAATTAGCGCTTAGCAACACGGGCAGTCGGGAATCATTCAGAGACGAGCCGCCGGAGTGACAAGAAGGTTTGTGATATATTATGTTATTTCTTTATACTGTGCCATTGATTTAGTTTAGTTGAAATAAATATTTTTATTGCATTGATTAATTCCTTTTTTTTAAAATTCTAAGATTCACTTTTGAGGTACCTCTTACACTGCAAACTGCTGCCACAGTTCAAATAATTGTAGAAATTCGTTCGTTTCGTTTTGAATTTGGAGGAGTTATATTGTTTAATTAGGAATTATAATACATTCATTGAAATTGAATGATATATAATTTTCGAATATATTTGTCGGTAGGATATGCGCGCCATCTGCTGTAAATTAAATGTACTAAGCCTATAACCAACGCGCAAGTGCCAGCAATTTACCGCAATCCGGTGAACGGTATGGCAGTGCTGAAATATGAACCAACGAAAATTTATTTATATATATCAGGTAATAAGACGTGCGACAGTAATGGCTATACAGTCAGATGAAACAAATTTTTTTATATATATATATATATATATATATATATATATATATATACATACATACATATACACAAAAGTGTAGCCGAAATGGATAACGAAAGGTATAAAAAAGTGCTGTAAACGTAAACGTCAGCTTCTTTGGCAATATAGGAAAAATCGAACAGAAAATAATAAAAGAAGTTTTATAGACCTTTTATCAAGACTGAGTCGTGTTATCAAATTCACACAAAATATTAAAAACGACAATTTCATAAATAATGCTCGTAACAAATGCAAAGCTACTTGGACTATAATTAATAATAGGACAATTAATTTACCAAATCATATCATAAGCATAGCGAATAAATTTAATGGACATTATATTAACCAAATCACCAAATTGGTTGGTCCCCCATAGAACACCAATTAATATTTCAAGTGAATCTAAATCTTTACTTATGAAACCCGTAACACTGAATGAAATAAATAAAATTATTATAAATTTAAAACCTACGAATAGTACGGGTTATGATGATATTTCAACCAAAGTATTAAAATATGTTTCTATCGAATTATCACATGTACTGGGTCATATTATCAATCAATGCATTTATCACGGCCTTTTTCCTGACAAATTAAAGGTAACCATAATCAAACCTATTTTTAAGAAAAACGACAGAAATGACATGAGCTCTTATAGACCGATAGCATTGGTACCGGTTCTATCTAAAGTTTTTGAAAAAGTAATTCATTAAAAATTAAATAATTATTTCGAAACAAATAATTTATTTTCAAAAGAGCAGGTAGGTTTTAGAAAGAGCAAAACTATAAATATGGCAGTTTTCTCATTTTTAAGGAGTGTTATGGTAAACATGGATAATAACAATCATGCCTGCGCCCTTTATATGGACCTAACAAAGGCATTTGACTATGTTGACCACAATACATTGCTAGATAAGTTATTTGCTTATGGAGTCAGGGAATATGCGCATGATCTTATTAAGAGCTATCTTGGTAACAGAAAACAGTCTACACACATAACGCGATTGTGTCCTCACAAAAAAAATTGTATATGACTATGAATCAGAGTACAAAATCAATAACTTTGGTGTACTACAAGGCAGTGTATTGGTTCCATTATTATTTATTATATACACAAATGATCTCCCGAAAGTAACAAGCAACGACACTATTTTATTTGCTGACGACAGTACATTTATATTTACAGGAAAAGAAAAAATACAAATAAAATTGGACATAAACAATACCTTAGACAATATTATTAAATAGTTGACTTTAAATAATTTAAAAATAAATTTGGAAAAAACTAAATTAATGACATTTCGAAACAGAGTTCACAAATTAACGGACATAAAAATGTACTATACACAAACAAAAATTGAAGAAGTAGAGACAATAAAATTCTTGGGACTAAACATTGATTCTCAACTAAACTGGAAGTTACATACAGAGATGTTGTGTTCGAAACTTAATCAATATTCATATGCGATCTACATGTTGTCCAAAACTGCCAGTACATCCACAGTTTTAACGGCTTACCATGGACATGTTACTCCTCTTTTAATGTATGGTGTTATGTTTTGGGGCAACTCTGTGGGAAAAGAGTTGGTCTTTAGGGCGCAAAAGAGATGCGTTCGGGCTATATACAGAATGAAACAAACCGATAGCTGTAGTTCGATATTTCCAAAGATTAAAATATTGACACTACCGTGTATTTATATACTGGATATGGTACTATTTGTAAGAAATAATAGTAACTTATTTCTTAAATTAAAAAGCAAGAGATACCCTTTCCAAATAAGCTTCATGTCTAACAAAACTAAACTTTTAAACAGCAGTGAATTTTGTATGATTCCTGGAGTGTATAATGATTTACCCAAATCTCTGCTTGAAATTTCAAATAATAATTTAATTATAAAAAATAAGTGATGACACTATTAGAAAAATGACAATATAAGGGAATTTCTTGAAGACAAATTATTAGATGTAGTATTGTAACCGGATTAGTGGTACCTACTGTGACATTAATTAGACATTTTATGACATTTATTTTACAAAGTTGACATTGTGTATTAATTAGGTAATCTCATTTGGCATTATTTAAATAATTATTTGAACACTGTAATTTGATATGCAATAATTTTAATTTAAACTATAGCATATAATTAAGAATTTTTGCATGGCATGAGCCTAAATATGGCGTCTGTACCCATATTGCGCAAATAAAGAATTAAATAAAAAAAAATATCGTAATGAAAAGAGACAATCGTTTTTAGGCCTACTAGAAATTTTAACTGACATTGTTAACCAGTGTCACCTATTGAACTTTTTCTTGATCTATGAAATATTGTAATATGTTAATCTTTGTAGGAAACATATTGTTAATATCATTATAGAACATTATTTTACATTATTTAATTACGATTTCTGAGATTATGCATATATGCGCTTAATAAATCTCTCTGTGAATATCATCACATTAATGTTACAAAAATACACAATTTATAGGCACCTGCAATTCACATTTTTATTATACGTACATTTTTAGCTCTGAGCTGAATATGTGCCTTTTCAAGAACATGAAAAGAAGCGTATAATCCTTGAAACAAATGAACATACTATATCACTCTACTGGAAAGCTGAGTTGGTGGACGAAGAGCTGGGTCTCCCACAGTGGTAAAGCGACATTCGATCACCGGTCTATGGGATTAATGAATGTACCAAATAAAAAATACGGGGCCTGGTTTGTCCTTACTCCATTATCCTTATTATTAGTAGATATAAATTTTACATTTGAATTGAGTATTTAAGTTTATCCAGATACGTTTTAGTAATTATGTGGTTACAAAATATACATTTTTTTAGTTCTTTATAGAAGTAACATCATCCAACCAGTCTGACCATCTTCTTATTTCATTATACAGCTTTCTTCCGGGGCTCTCAGTCGCAATTAATTGACGATGTCCTACAACGTGATAGTTTGATGCAAGGTGACCGTTTTCAACGCCACATTTAATTAATGCCTTTGCAGCATCCAAAGCTTTAGATGTTGGTTCATCGTCTGTAAATAAAGTAGTGTAAATTAAAGTAAGAAACAACATATAACATACGTCCCAATGTTGGGTACGTAACCCCTCTCATATATGAGGTATACGAAATGTATTTTTTTAAATTTTCAGACATGCAGATTTTCTCATAAAGTTTTCATTCACCACCAAGCACGTAGTAAATGAGCATTTATAATAGAATTTCATTGCTGCTGGTAGAGATTGAATCCAAATTTCTCACGTACCACGAAATTTACAACGAGCACGAGATGTCTATCACAGCTAATTAAATTACATAAAGAAATTGATGAAATTTGTATGGTCATAATAAATAACATAAAGAAACTACATAATATTTCAAATAATAACTAATAGCATGTGGTTTTAGTGTAGATATGAAGTATAAAACGAACTAACAGTCCACCTGATGGTAAGTGCAAGTACTGCAGTCCAAGGACACCTGCAATAAACTTCAAACAAGGTTACAGTTGCGTTGTCATTTCTGAGGTCTAAGATGGAATTCCTCACAGCCTGTAGTTGTACTGACTCTCTATAAACTTCAGAACGGAAGCACAGTTCTTCAGTGAACGCACAAAGCACAGTTGTTCACAGAACTTCAGAACAGCACAGCAGTTGAAGAGCTGCTAATTTGCCGCAGAAAGATAAGAGGGTGTTATCTATAATGCCAAAGATTGTATAATAAGGCCACTATATAGTTAGTAGACTGGGAAAGGACCACGCTCTCACATAATTTCAGCGTAAAATAGCAGTTTAATACTGCTTTGTTTCATATAGTAAGTATAAAGAACCGATACCTATCTTTTCTAGAAACGAGATATTCTAACACTAAGGGTGACAACACATCTGTATTTTGATTCTTAGTCGAGGATAGATGTAGAAGACTATTGGCCACACCAGTCACCTACCTGAAAAGGACTATGTTTGTCAAAATTATCGTCTAAAAAAAGGGTTACTGGGCTCGCCTGACACACCAAGTATTCATATTGCCGTAAATCATCTGCACTGTGCAAAAAGTCCTTGCCCAACCGTGAAATATTTGCAGGGCAAGGCAAGGCAGTATATTTTCAAATATCTAGGCAGATGACGGAAAAAGAGTCTATTTCGTCGTTATCGCTACTGCCTATCAAAGTTCACTGCTGAACATGGGCCTCCCCCATAGACTAGGGTACTTGCCATAGATGCCACTCTTGGCAGGCAGATTGGCAATCGCATTTTTTAGTTTTTATTAGGAAGACGCTGCTACCCATCTCCTAGTTTCTTTCGCTCTGACGCCTCTTACGACATCCAAATGACGTTAAGGGTTATTGAATATTCTTACACCACCACTTCGATACCTACGGATATTTTAATAATAATTACTCACCTACGGGATATAATTGAATAAAATTGCATCTTTTTCGATTAGGAATACCCTTAATCTCTCGGTAGAGAGTTATGGTGTTTTGTGCTCATGATACAAAACTAAGTTGAGAATGAAATAACGCCATTAATCTAAAGTTTTAGTATGATGTAATGTAATCTTTAAAAAACATGTCAATCATTTTAAAAAAGACAATTTTGGCAAATAAACACAATTATTGTAATTACAACATAATGAATAATAAACATCGATAAATCTTAAATTAATCTCAAAATCTAACAAACACCGTTTAATCGGTCAAAGACAAAGGTCACGGCAAAGTCGAAATCAAGGTCACATAACAAATTAAAGTAGGTAATGCGACCACAAACGCTTGTACTCAGAACATTTTAAACAAAGACGTAAGTACCTACGAGCAACACTCACAGAATTCCTGACATCTTCGTGTCTGTTTTGCTTATTTATACAAACCTCGAACGCTAAACGAAGAGATTGGGCTTTCCGTCGACTTGACAAAGTCACACTATCCTCTCTAATTTTTCACATTGATATTAAGAGAAAACACTTATAAACAAAACTGATGTTTTTATTATATTTTTTAGTTTTATTTTATATCTTTTCTACGTTAATAATTTTATTTATTATAAAATATTTCTCAATAGTTAAATAATAGGTTTGATGAATGACAAATGCTTTAATTTCTATCTACATATACAAAATTGCTTCGAAATCAATTTACTTATTGATAAAATCCATATATCTAAATATGTACTAATACATTTGATAAAGGACTTCTTTACGGATACTAAAGCCCGTCTGTCAATAATAATTATCCACTTACTGTTAAAGTTTCCAATGAAAGAGATGCCGATTGATTTGCTATTATAGCCATACGTATGAGCCCCCACATGAAGCCAACCTGGACCTTCATACACCTTACCATTTCCACCAATTAGAAACCTAAAACATCATACAATAATTTTCACCTTTTATTTTTACCTATTAATTGTAGCACAAAGTCGGTTCGATTGAGGGAGGCTACGGTGAGTTTAAAGAACCATAGGTCTTGTACTGGACCTTAGACAGGTAAGTGGCATGGCACATCATCTTGTAACGATATCCATATGAAAAGGGATTAAAGTCGCTAATAATTTTACATATTAATTGTAGTTTTAGCACAAAGTCGGTTCGACCGAGGGAGGTTATGGTGAGTTCAGAGACCCGGAGGTCTTGTACAGTACCTTAGACAGGTAAGTCAATTTGACGCGGTAGGGCCATGCTGAAGTTATATTAGTACTGAAGTTATATAAGTTACTTGTAGCACGAATGGGTCGTCTCTACCAAGGAAGGACTACATTCTCACAGAATACTAGCATAAAATTTTATGCTGCTGTGTTTCGTATGGTGAGTGTAGAGAACCGGAGACCCTTTTTACTGGAACCGAGGCATTCCATCTTAGTCCTCACGGGTGACAAGGCATCTGCATTTTGATTCATAATCGAGGATAGATGTAGATGTCTATGGGCCACAGCAACCACTTACCATCAGGTGGACTGTGAGCTCGTTTGTCACCCTATCCAATAAAAATTTGACATGGCACATTACCTTGTAACGATATCCATATGAAAAGGGATTAATGTCGCTAAATAAAATGCGGTATTAATTAACAGTCAACCGTTCATCTTTTGGGAAGAAATATTTTATTTTAACACATAGCATTTACCCGCAACTTCATCCGCACAACTATTCATCATATAAATTTCAATTTTCAAAAAATCTGTTTAGTTAGTCCCAAGTTTATTAACCCGGACATACAGATATTTTTAATTGTGATTTAGTTCACAGGTATTTTAGAGGATAATTTATTTAGAGCATAATTAAATATTTATTTGACATTTTAGGAGAATTTTGTCTATGAATGGATTTGTATTGGATTAGGGTTTATGTAGACCTCGAACGATCCAAGCCAGCCCAACATACAAGACAAGTCCGTTTTATTATCAATTGTGTTCTTTGAGTATTAAACCAAAGGATACGGCATCGCAAGACATACCCCTCTGTAAAAGGTACGAGAGTCCGACTCGTACTCGTTATATAAAACTAGTTGCTCCGCACCTCGAAAAGAGTAAACTCATGGAGAATACCTCTCCATCTCATACAGCGTACTATCAGATGGCTAGAGCCCTCAGCATAGACGCTATCACCCAGACTCCCCCCTCTCTCCCGTCCCGACGGTACGGTTGCCTTCGAGGACGAGGAAAAGGCTGAGTTCTTTGCAGATAGCATTGCCGCACAATGCTCTCCTAGCTCTCAACCCGTCGACCCCCTTACACGTCCAGGCAGTGGAGGATGAGGTCCGCTGCCGGAACTCACCCCTACAGCCTCCGAACCTATCTCTGTGTCCAATGATGAGATTTCATCCCTCATCAAAGGCCATTAAGGCAATTAAGCCTAAAAAGGCTCCGGGCGCGGATGTCATCTCCAACCAAGCCCTAAAACACTTTCCTGAGCAGGTGTTAACCTTTTTATCTATTATCTTCAACGCCTGCTTCAACCTTAGTTACTTTCCCACTACGTGGAAAGAGGCAACTGTGATTGGTATTCCCAAGCCAGGCAAGCCTCTCAACCTCCCCTCCAGTCATCGCCCCATTAGCCTCCTCAAGGCAATGGTCTTCGAAAGAGTCATCCAAACTCGTATGAGGCGCTATCTGTTTCCCACAGACGGTGACCCTCTTATCATTCCCCATCAATTCGGTTTCCGAGCGCAACACTCATGTCCCCAACAAGTTCACCGTATTGTGGAATATATCCTCAGCGGTTTTTATCCTCGTCGTCATAAGACCATCGCGGTCTTTTTCGACATAGCTAAAGCCTTCGATAGAGTCTGGCATACAGGCCTTATCTACAAGCTGTACAAAATAGGTCTCCCCGATCATCTAGTACGTCTCGTAGCCTCTTACTTAAAGCATCGTACCTTTCGTTTTAGACACGAAGGCACGCTATCTTCACAGCGCCCTATCAAAGCTGGTGTCCCTCAGGGCTCAGTACCTGCTCCTCTGCTGTACATTCTGTTCACCAACGACATTCCCATCCCGTCGAAAGGTGTTCAGCTCTCCCTCTTCGCAGACAACACTGCTATCTACTGCAAAGGTATCTCGCTACCTTTCATACGGAACAAGATTCAAAAGTCAGTTGACGACCTAGGAGCTTGGTTCAAAAAATGGCGCATCGATGTGAACCCGGAGAAAAGCTCCGCCGTTCACTTAGATTATAAACGACTCCGTCTCAAAAACACTCCACCAATACGTATGCTAGGGACCCCTGTCCCCTGGCATACGACTGCCAAATATTTAGGTGTCACTCTAGACACAAGGCTCACTTTCAGGCCCCACGTCAAAAGAGTAACCCGTCACGCACGTTTTTACCTGAGTAGGCTCAACAGTATGTTGGGCCGACACAGTAAAATGTCCCTTAGAAACAAGCGTACCCTTTATAAGGTCTGTATACGACCAGTCATGTCCTACGCGGGTCCCGTTTTTGCCCACGCCGACCCTAAAATTATTAATGAACTCCAAATAGTTCAAAAGCTTTTCTGTCGTCGAGCTGCGAACGCACCTTGGTACGTCCGTAATGCCGACCTTCATCGGGACCTAGAGCTCCCCACAATTCAACAATTTCTCAAAAAACTCTCTGAGAACTTCTTCAAAGCCTCAGAGTCGCAATCCAACCATTCTATTCGTGAGGCAACTACTTATGCAGCCCCATCCCCCTCTCGCTATCGAGTTCGCAGGCCGAGAAACTCTCACTCGGACCCGCCTAATAAACTGACAAACGACCTGAACTGCCTCCTGGCGGCTCAGGCCAACTCTAATTAAATTAAATTATTTATTCATAATACATTTGCCTTCGTAGGCATTCCCTCAGCGGCTCGTAGCCGCCTGCGCCCTCTTTTCCCAAAAGAGAGTCGCTCACGATAAGGCACAATAAAGCTTAATCAGCCAGTTGCCTGTCCTCAAAGGCGGTTTTTAGAGGGTATCACTTAGGTTCCCCGGTAGGATGTGAGTCCCTCATAACCACGATAGACCGGCTATCGTGGTATGCGTAATGCATTTTCCGCCTCCCTACGTGTAGGGTAGCCCTTTAATTGCTTCGGGCGCAAAAAAAAAAGTCGTGCGTCATTCCGAAGTGATCGTGCCAGTAAATCGTGCTCCGACAAAATGCCGAATTGCAGTGTATTTACATGAAAAATACAATCAAAAACGTCAAGTATACAAAAGGAGAATATGACTTTTCATCTATGAGTATTTTTAACATAATATTAAAGTAATTTTATCATTAAAACTCGTACTTTGTGAATATTATCGGCCAATACCGAGTGTGGCCATCATAGTTCATAAAGTGATAAATAATCTATATTTAAATAAATATAATTTACTACACAAGTTATATATATTAACGAAAATATATTTCCTAATAACTAAATCAGTTTGTGATGAATAATAATCATTACATATCGATGTGTAGTACATTTTGTTAAATGATTTATATATTCAGCTCAATTTCAACACGATACTCAATATTAAATAATTAAATGTAATTGATAACTAGTATTTATTAAAATATTATACAAAATACAGGCCAAATAAGTCAAATCGAAACTTGCAACCTCGCAGCAAAAGTGTGCAATTTTTATAAAAAATAAACTGGTATTACTGCAACCGAAAGTATAGCATTATAGTGATGGACGCCGCAACTTTAGCTATCGATAAGTTAATTAACCATGCGGGTTTGTCTTCCCAACCGGTTTGTAGTTTTTATTTAGATTTTATAGTAAAGTATTACAAAAAGTAGTAATTTTTTCTATTATTGGTTTGTTTTTACAGATTTCCATAAATTTGACACTGCAGTACCAACCTTGAAATTGTGGGAGGTAATGTTTGGCTGTAATTATATTTAGATTAAATATTTTTATTATTACCTTCGACACCAATATTATTCTACTTTAAAATATTTTATTAAGTTTACAAAAGCATTAACCTATCAAATTTAATTCATATATTTATATACCTATTATTGTAATTGTAAACTTAATGTAGTATAATTTTTGTACGCCATAAATGGCAAAACATGTAGCTCGTTTAAAGTTTTTAACACACAAAATAAATATCATTATCTTTATCTTATATTTATTTAGTGAATAGTAATGTAAAGTTAAAGCAAAACGTCTTTCTGGGTTAGATATCACGTTTTATTTTCATAGTGTAAAACTTTTTTGTTTTCCTAATTTATTAAATATTTTCCAGATAGTTCATTTAATAACTCTTAAAAATCAACAACTTTTTTTAAATAGCGGTTTTGTGATTGAAGCCTTATAATAAAAACAAAAACTTGGTTAACACCATCTAAGACGATAAATGAGAGGACTTTTCTTTTCACAAATCTGATTTTTAAAATAAGTTAACTAAACCTCCTATTTCGATTTGTTAAATGTTTTAAATTTTATCCTGCATAATGTAAAATAAACCTGTAGCAAAATAATAAACTTATTATCAATAATTTCTAGGTTATTTCCGAAGATCATTTCTAAATACCTTAAAAAAATAATTTCAAATAACACCTTGGTATTATTTATCTATGTATTACTTATAATCAAATAAAAATTTATGCGGATTACGGTGATTTGTTTACGCCTTATGTTGCTTACGCATTTAGACAGCGCCATCAGTGTATCGAGACGTGTACATTTGATGGTAGTTTACGCAAACTCGATGAACACAAACACAAATTCTGTAGTGTGCGCTTATAGTGACGCGATTTAATTTTGCATTTGTAGTTAAGTATACAGTTGTGTGGTTTTCTTGCGCCCCCCTGATGTTGACAGAATTTTTGTTTAGGAATTAACGCGCATAGCCTCTCCAGTTGGTTGAATACTCAAAGATTGTGTTTAATCCATCGTTCTTCAGATTACATTAGTATTATGACTTGTAGATGTTAAATTACTCATATACCTCCTCATATATTTAGGTCTGTTAAGGAATTTTAAACCTATATACTTTGAATAATAATTTGAAATCTACCTGAAATTTAGGTATTAGTAGCCAATTAGCGAATTAAGTAATGAAATAATTAGTGATTTTACACTAATTCGCCAAAAATATAATAAATACTTACGAAGGTCCAATATCCCAATAGTTAAGACTCTCCATATGATAAGACTGGATATTCCTCACTCTTTCTGCACATTCTGCATCAGTTTTGCATGTGGGTGTGACAGTGTGCTGGATGATTACGAGCGCTACTGGTCGTGGTAAGTAGCTAACGTGAACTGGTCTAAGACCGTCCCAGTCTTTTCGTGTCGCTATTTGAGGGCAAGCTGCAAAAGAAATGGTAAATTTGAATTTTGTAATAATATTTATTATATTAAATATAATTTATGTACAGTCTTTTTAACTATTATCAAACCCACCACTACCTTACGCATACACCCTTTCTGGCATCAACTATCAAACGCTACACCACAGCTAACAACTTCGCACTGCCAATACTGTACCCAACGACTACAGAGCCAGAATTGTGTAGCCTTTGACTGTACCACATCATAAGTGTAATTTTAAATCATTTTTCAAACATCGTTCGGTCGATATAACGTCCAGATAAGGATGACTATACAAGAAAACTAACAATTTAAAAAATAAAGAAGAAATATACCAAATATTCCTTCTTAAGAGGATAGAGTAAGTCAGCTCAAATTCTAATTTCGCCCCCACTTCCCCGCGCGTCGTATGCTATGTACCGACATGTTTGTAATCAATAATACTGTAAGTAGAAAGGTCGTTAGATACTTATTTCATTAGGTTTATCATATTTATGCCTGTTTCTTAACGCCAACCCAGTCGCTTCTTATTTTTATAACGGTTATTTCCCATTTTAATTTTACGTCGTCCTGTTGCGTAATTTGTATTCTGATCGTAAGCGACACAACTTCTCCCTTCAAAAGCCGGAGCGATACTAACTGGGCGACAGGAATCAAGCTTACGCGCCAATAGTTTAGGTAATTTCTTTTTACAGTAAAAATAATAGTATTTTAGAAAAAGTAAATAACATAAGCACTGCTTTATAGTTAGTTCAGTTAGTATGCAAAGTTTCATGATCTTATTTAAAGTATTTTATGAATAACAGCGGTTTATTGTTCAGTTTGGAGGTAACTTTGGATTTTTTTTCTATCGAAAAATTTTTACGGAATCGTGTTTTCGTCTAACATAGTCCTTAACATTAATCCTCAACTTTACCATATATTTATTTCAAAATTAATGCTGCAATACTTTCGGCATAACGGAGGATCTTGCTAAGCCATTTGAGATTATATTTCCCCCTTAAATGGACAACACATACACATTTTTGACGGAATAAAGCGATGCACACGAATGGGTCGCCACGATAGCAGCTTAAGCTTTTGGGTTTCGTACGGTGAGTGTAGAAAACCTTAAACTCTTTTTACTTGTTACGAGACATTATATTTTAGTCCTCGGGGTTGACAGCATGTATTTTGATTCCTTATTTATAACTATTTGAATTTTAATAGAGGATAGATCACTAACCATTAAGTGAACTGAGTGTTCGTACGTAACCGTTATTCTCTACATTCGGAATAGGTGAATACTATTAAAAGACATTTAAGAAGTAATGAAGTCAAAAAATTTGTTTTTTCTTGATTTAACTTTTTTACAGATAAAGTTCCATGAAATTGAAACAGATAACTATATATATTTTGTTACATTTCTCTTTCATCTTCGTGATTAGTCCCCAAGAAGTTCCACTACTACATTAGGCCCCGTGGGTGTAGTGAAAAATACCAAAAGGTTCTTATTGTTTCCGAAAAGTTGATATAGCTGTTATATACATCTTAATTAAGCCAGACATACAATACACAGGATAACGTTACAACTGGGAGCATCGTATAAAGTGCGCGATGTCTGATGATGATGAGGCCGCCTATCGGCGTGGCAAGCGTGAACCTTTACTAGCTGATTAAGATGATGAGTTTATACTTTATCAATCTTGTGAAATATTGTACCAATTTAATATCTATCCCGTAAGTTGATTAGTATCGCAAGTTTCTTTAAAATTAATTTTCGTTATGTTCGCTAGTTGAGTTTTAGAGCCTTTGAGTATTTAATACTCAAAGTTTAGAGCATTTTGAAAACAACGGTAGTGTAAAAACCTTTGTTTTTATTTTTATGCGAATGATAACAAAATATCTTTGTCTTCATTGTCTGAAGATTCAACTTCTGCATGGTAACTGATTGTATTATTTTATTTGAATTTCCTATTCCTGAAATGACTTTACCATACCGTCCACCTGGTTAGGCTCCACTGTCTAACAATCTGCCGAAGAACATCTTTCGAATTTTTGGAAAGCTACATTTATTTCAAATAACAGAAGAATCAATACGAAAAAACGTATATTTATTATAACTAAATTTATGAATCTACTTACTTGCACTTGAATAACACCACTGTAGTATAAGGACTAATAATATACAATAATATTTTGCACGTTTCATCTTTAGTAACCGAGCTCCTTGAATATTCAAAAATAACTAAAGTCTCAAAAGAACTACCACTGTTTTATTCGAATAAAAACAAGCGAGTGACTCCTAATGAACTTTGGCCTTTCCCACTCGTCATATCTCTTTCGATTCACCATGTGCTAAATAAAGACAGTAAATAATTGCAGCACATTTACTTGACTCCTGTTATTGTATACATCATAACTAGATATTCTTAGAATTAATACGTCTTATACAGTTTGGTTTCGTGAAACTTAATTATTATGACTGACAATGAATTAAAGTTTAGTAGGTATCTATAGTATAAGAGGCGAAAACTGAATAACTAAACTGTTTGATTTAGTGTCAAGTGTAGATCACTAATGTGAATGAGATGGAACCAGTCTGCCTTTATGACGTTAGTGCGCTTGGCACAACCGTTATAAAGTCGTTGAAAAACATATCATAGTAGAACCACAAAGCAAAGAGTAGGGACTTCTTTACTCATGTGATAGAGCTCAAGAATAATATATACAAGGATAATAATATCTATATACAGTACCTTATACGCATAATATAATAAATGACATGATTTTTGTTGCGTTTAGTGGATATAGCGTCCAATGGCGTGTTAGTTGGCTTAGAAAAAAATTAAACATAACATTATAAAATGTAAAAAATTATTTCGATTCAAGCAATAAAATAAAATGGAATCCACATCGAAATTACATTTGAACAAAATCCAAAACACTAATTATAGTATGTCAATCAGGTTACACCACAAAGTTGTACAAAAACAAAAATAAAATAATAATAGCTTGGGACACTTGAAAATTTCAAATAATTTTCACTTTGATTCTTCACCTTATAATGTTCACAATCATATAAGCACATAATCATCAATAATCATATGATAATCATGATATTATCTAGATGAAATATAAAGGTTGTGGTAATACAACCAGTGCATGTGATGATTTACGGAACTGAAACGTGCTACGGGAAAGCTTAAAATCAATCAGTGTGCAATGTAAAAGACTATGCTCATAATATCTCTGCGGGATAAAGTCCGAAACTAAGATATCCACTGAAGAATAAAAGTAAATGACATAGCCCAGCGGATCATGAAACTGTTGGGCTGGCCATACAATTTTCATACCCCACAAGGTCCAATGTGCGAAAATTGGGTTTAATTTAAATAAAACTAGTTTTTATTAACTTTTTTATATTTCCGATATTTCGAGCACTTTACAGCACCCCATGGTCACAGGGGGAGACTGAGGTGTTCGACGTCCAGATGTTGTAGTTAACCGCGGTTACCCATATAACATAAACAAATACATAGACAGATCATACAGTGAATTAAAGAAAGTTTTAACGAAATTTGATCATAATGTTTGCATCGAATAGTAAAATAAACGCAAAATTAGTAAATACAATGAAACGACAAAATCAAATGTACAGCATTTGAATCAACGTCAGAACTAAACGCAACCATTGACTACAAACACAGATCATAGATTAATCGCGATCTATATTCTGTCATCAAGAGCAATTTATCATGCAATAACACCACGCAGCTTACCGTATGATGGAATTATCTGTAGTGTCGAGGACTGTTTATTTAAAAATAATATTCGGAAAGAAGATTTGTAGGCGATACGTCAAACAGTAAGTAACAAATAAAACATATTTGGTAGAAGTTTGGTCCCCGATTATAATAATACCACTTACATTAAAAGGTAGTGCACGGTTATCAAAAAAAAAATCTATTATAACTTAAAATGCGTAAAACAATGTAAAAACATGCAATATTATTGTGAAAGCTGGATAGCATACAGAATTTTGTGTAAGTGCGACAAGGACGTAAGACTAGTGTCACATTATTTTACTATCTATACCCTCTGTCAAGTGTCAAATTGCATGACATACTATTTTTATGCATTTCGCCGTTTGTTGCTCTTCTCGCGTGAATATGTGCTCTCCAGTGTATTATTGTAGCTAGAATGTGTATGTACCCCCTAACGATTTTATCTGCCGCCACCTGTTTTTCGACGACTTCGCTACCCCACTGGATCCTTTTTTACAAAAGTTAATATTTTGGTGTTTTACTGAGTGTAAGATTGAGCGAAGCGAGCTCGGGACTTAGGGCATCCCGACTCGGACAGGTTAGGTTAGAAGGGGATGGCGGAGTCACGTGAGCGAGCGAAGCGAGCGAATATACCCCACCATCTCCTTCTCGCAGTTCATTTGTTGTAAGTTTTTACTGTGACTTTTTTGTAACCGGAACGACGGTCACTGTTATTTAAAAATACCACTTTTCTCCAAGTCTAGTCACCTCTTACGAGACCCACGGGATGATGTGGATATTAGCGCTCTTGACCTTCATAGAAATAATTTAAGTTTAAACTGTAGATATTTTTTCACTTTTGGATAAGAACATAGTAATGACCCTAAGTTATATTATTTTCATTTAAAAAAAATGTAACCTTGTACTGACCTACTACTCTTTGGCTTGACAATAGCTCTGACTAAGTTCAACATTAAAATGTCGGGACCTGAAAGGTTAAATACTATTTTCACCAGTTAAAATATGTTTTTACTATTTTGGTTCACAGTAATCGTACGTAGGTTGTATAAAAAACCGTCTTTTGCTACTAATCACTGCTTTACGTCTGAATGCCTGCATTATTCACGATTGGTTTGTGTTCGTATTGTGTTTGGCGTTTTTGGGATTATCTTTTCGCTGTCTGTCAAATATTTCGAAATGTTAGAAATATTTTTTTTTCTATATTGCGACTCTTACGATACCCAACATAAACAAAAAGATACATGTACTATCCTCAACCAAAAAATTTACCTCTTGGTGATCTCGTGAGCCTGCATGAGAGGGTATCTTGTTCAAACTATTGCGAGCCGTGAATATTTTAGTTGGTGTAGTCGTAGGTATTGTAGACGGAGAAACGATAATCCCCAAAACGGCAAATTCATTTCCCCAAATTGTCCTGTGGGTGTCGTGAAAAGCGACAAAAGGAAATTGGGAGATGGACAGAAGCACCTTGTTAATAACATAACAAACACTCACACCAGTCACGCAAGGGGGGTAGGCAGAGACTACAGATTTCCATTTAGCACGATCGTGACATATCCCTCTCGCTCATGCTCGTCGGTTAATGGTACTCTTAATTTGGGCCATTATTAATATATCGCCAATTTGGTCGACAAACTTTCGGAAAGGCACGTCCTTGCTAATAACAACTAAAAATAAAATGACTATCGTGGCAACTACGGCATAGATCCCTCATATGAGATGGGAGGTCTATGTTCAGCAGTGAACCTCGATGTAATGAACGAATGAATGAACAACGTATACTTGATTTCCTGTTTCAGTCTACCTTGATGTAGCGTAGTGTACATATGAAAACACTATTAATATGTGCAATATGAACATATGAAATATTATGCAAAAAAGGGAAAAAGAATTATTAAAGTTTCTGAATATACATAAAAAATAACATAAACACTCACGCCTGTCACCCAGAGGGCACACACCTCTCTCGCCTCCTCCACATCTATATACCTACGCCTACATGCTCGTCGCTTAAGGGTACTCCTAATTTGCCCCGTTTTCAATATATCGCCAATTTGGTCGATAAAGTTTCGCCTAGGAAGTCCCTTTCCGACTATGCCTTTCACTTCTGCAACATAAATTTGCTTTGTTACTCTTTCCTCATTCAATCTTTCCACATGACCAAACCACCGAAGAATTCCTTTCTTAATCCTAGTTACAACATCATCTTGCAAACCACACTCTTCTCTTATTACACAATTTCTCAATAAAATTTCTCACTTTTTCTGAATGTACTACCTGCGCGTAAATATATCACTGTTTCTTGCAATAAGTATTATCTGTGGGTGGTGTTCGCACCAGGCGAATCGTTTCAGACGTATCAGTTATTTCAGATGTATTTTTTTATTGAATTAGTAACTTATCTGATCATTTCACTTAACTCCCAATTATAACTACGGTAAAAAGTGATAACAAATACTGCATACAATAGATCTTTATCTATGAAATTGCCGTTCTACAGTACTGGTCATTTCAAATCAATATAATTTTTGCCTGGCTAAAAATTATAATTTAAAATTAATTTTCTATTAAAAACATAGAATTCTTTTTTCAAAATTAGTTATTTTTATTGATTAGCGTTATGTTTTCATCGCATTTGAATCCTTTTCGTCATCTTGGATAAGGTAGTAGTTCTAGTAATGGAATATGAGTACCGTCGTGACACCAATGCGGCACAAGCGTAACGCAACTTCAACGACGTTTACGGAGCGAATAGTACAAACGAACGCACCAACGTGTTACAGGTTTGCCCGCTTCGGTTCTGAAATTGCTTTGAGAAATGACCTCCGAATACTTTGGTCGACAATGACGAATTAAAGGCGATTGTGGAAGTTGATGGTTCATCAACTCCATTAGCGTCATATTGGCAGGATAAAAAAGCTTGACAAATAGGTTGTCATTGACATTTTTAAATATTTTTTACCACGAATTCAATAATCGCTAGCGTGAAGTACTTGGCGCTAGCGATTACTGAGTTCTCTCAAGAGGTACACGGACAAAGGAATTTTGAACCGCGCTGTTATCTGCGACTAAAATGGATTCTTTTTGGCAATAAAAGGCGCTCAGCAAGTTGGTTGGAACCTGGTTTAGCACCTAAACAATACCATAAACGAAAACTTATCCCTAGAAAGTACACTGTTTGGTGGTCTAGCGCCGGTGTGATTAATCACAGCTTCTTACCAAACGAGATGAGTATTACTGCAGATGTGTACTATGAAGAACCGAATACAATGATGGAAAAGCTCGCACGTCCCCAATAGTTTTGGTCAATCGCTCGTCCTCGTTGACCATGCACGACAACGTGCGACGTCATACTGCACAACAGGTCTCCAAGTTATAAGAGCTAGGATTGGAAGCTCTCCGTCATCCGCCGTCCTCATCAGAA